TCGAGATTGGTCATGGTATATGACCAACGTAAAAAACATTCTTTTAGCACATTCGTATCTTAGAATAGAAGATACCAAAAGATCTAAAACTTTGACAATAAACTATTCTCATTAAGGTATGTCATTATACAAAATTTCAAGTTGAAATTCAAAACTTTGTTTTTTCGATGTTCCTCAGAGTAGAGTCTGTTACGTCTAAATTTCTTCGGATCCAGTTAACAAAAAAATTTCAGAGTTGAATCAATTCGCCAGGTTCTATCTAAGGAAAGTCATGGTATTCTATATGGTACTTGGTCAGTAATAAAGTATTAGGCTGAACTTGTTTCATTCTATTCATAGCTAATTAGAACCTACATGATGCACATGGTTCCGACTCAAAAGTGATTTTACACTTAGAAATGTTTGTCTCATTAGCAGACAAGCTCATCTCACTATCAGATTTATATGGAAAGAGTTCGAGACCAAAGTTCCAGATCTTGATTTTATGATAAGAGTAGAATGTTGTTGGAAAACTGTATTAACAAGTTAATATATATGAGATGAATTGCAAATAGTGTCGATTTCCTGTCAGGCTGTTTTTCTAGTCTGCACATTTACATATTTGAGAAGAAAATTTGAATTGAAAAGCTTTTTGCCATCTGCAAAGATTTTCTTACGAGTACTCGGCTTGATATTATATCTAACTAAATATATTCATTCTATATTTTGTTCGCATCACTATTATTAATTATATTTCTGATTATTAAGAAAAAAAGGTTTTTCTCATGTCGTATAAGAACAAAGTGAAAGTTTTTGATAATACTGCGATAAAACTATTAAACCAATTGAATAAGATTATAGCTGTTTGTAAAATGGCTTGATTAAAAGAAATTCATCTTTTTCACAGCGGTCACTTGAAGATCTGAAGTTATCTATTATTATTATTATTATTAGTTTTAAAAAAATTGAATAAGTCGAAAATAATAACAAGCTGATTTTAATTATCTAAGAGAAATATCCCATAGAAATAAATTCAAGTCGATCTTTTGGTTAAAAAAAGCCGACATCAGAGATACCTTTGAGATTTATCATAGTGCCAAGAAATTTTTAGATTTTTTTATCTATATTTAAAATATTGGAATCGATATCGTATTAATAGAATATAAAATCGACTTGAATTTTAAAAATAAAATAAAAATTTGAGAAAGAAAAATCTAATTAAACGATATTTGTTTAGTTAGTCATTAAAACAAACAAAGAAGAATGTTGATTTCATGTTCTATTCTATAATAGTTATTTTTCATACAGGAAAAATATAATAATAACATAACATTAGACTATAGACAATTATTTTTCTCATTTATTCTTTTTTCATCACTTCTATTATGAAGATAACTGTTGATTTTTTCAATAATATTGATTTGTTATCTTTATAGTTTTTTGTTCTAATATAGTTCAAAAATAACTTTCATCTTAAAAAAATAAAAATGTTTCGAACTTTTCTCGTTTATGATACCATAACCTAGGCTTTATTATATATATTATTGATTTTATTACATTTATTATTTCATAAAATAATCAATCATCCATAATAATCTATAAATTAATAAAAAACTATAATTGATTTGTTATTCTTTTATAGAACCAGTTGTATTTATATGCGAAAAAAGAGTATGTTCAACAAATGGAATTGTTCTTCATGATTCATCGATTAACGACGATGTTGATAGTGAATTTGAATCATACGATTATTCTCATGATACAGTTAAATGTGATGTAGAAAAACGAAAATATATTCGAGCATGTCTTGCCGATTTACTATCAACAGATAAAATAGGTCAATTAGAATCAGCTTTACATATGTTACCATCATTAATTGAAATGTATAAGATCGAATGTGAAGAAGTTGCTTTAGAATTAGTTCGTATATTATTATTGTATAATAGTACATTTACTATAGAAAATTTTCCAGAATTACAATTAAATGATTTAATAACATTATGTGAAAATTATCCATTATTAATAAGTGATTATTTATGTCAAAAATTTTATAAAAAAAATTATACAACTAATCAACGAAGTCTTATACTTAAAACAATTCAAGAAACAGCAACAAAATTATCACAAATTAATCGAATACGAAAAAAAAATTCAAGCTGACAATATTTATTTCTGCTGATAATTATAATTATAATGATAATTATTCATAACGTTCAATTATAGATACACGCTTAAAATTAAAAACAAGTTATAAAATTAAAAATCGTTCAGAAAAAAAAATTTCTTTAAAGAAAAATCGTTTTTGGAAATATTGTTGGACATTTCTTTATCCATTAATATCATGTATAGATAAATCAACACCAAATTTTACCTTTAATCAATGATGATAATGATCATTTATTATTATGTGAACTTTTAGCTTATTTATGTTTTTCATATATTCATGCACAAAATACATTAACATTAAATAATATGATTATACAATTATTAGAAATACTAATGATATTACAACAACATTAAGGTGCTGCTGTTAGACATGCTGTTATTTATGCATGTGCATGTTCTCTTATTTGAATTGGTAAAACATGTTACGATCAAGATTTACAATATCATTCTATTGAATTAAAACAATAGTTAGATTTTATTATTATTAAAGATACAAACACTGAAGTACAAAAATTAGCAAGATCAGTTAGACAAATTGTATTAAAAACTTTACAAGACATTACAGATAATTAATATTATTTATTCTTTGTCTTTTTTTAAACATATTTAAATAAACACTGACATATGTGCTTTTTAAAAGATTAATTCCTTTTACATTTTTGTGAGATTTTAATTGACTGTTGATAGATCTCTAGTGCTTTCGAATAGTCTTTCATTTGAAGATGCACTGTACTGATATTATTTGTAGAGACCAGCTAAATTTGGATGATGCGGACGTATAGATGTTTGTTGAATTTCAAGCACCTTTTAATAAAACTCTAGTGCTTTCGAGCACTTTTGCATGCTGCCATAGACTATGGCGATGCTATTGTAGGTAGTAGCCAAGTCTGGATGGTTCGGAGAGATATGTTGTTGCCGGATTTCTATTGTCTTTTGATAGAACTCGAGTGCTACCTTGAAATCGCCTTTATTAAATCTAATATATCCAAACTGATAGTATCGTAGAGCAAGTTCTATGTCATTATTCGCGAAGGAAGAGTCGAGTAATATCTGATAGCTTTCTTCGACTTTGTTGAATTCCCCGATTCTGATCATTAATCGCCTCAGACGATTGAATCCTGTGCTGCCTGGAATGTTCTGTCGTATACTTTCAGTCAGAAGTTTGAGCTACTCATTGCTATCATTATTTAACGTCAGTTGTCGTTGCCATAGACAATTTTTGATCTCGCTGAGTGCATTAAATCGAAAGACAGTACGCATCGAGAATAAAATCTCTTCTTCTATCGGAAAATAACTGACATTTTTCAAAGAGGTAAATGGAATCAAGGTGATCGCGGAACTAATACTGATCGTGAAAAGAATACCAATCCGAGCGGGATTCTCTCGAGAACAGTTAACATAAAGAAGCGAAACTTGGCAATTAGTGCTGATCTATAGAAAACTGTTGAATGATAATAGATCACCTTGTCTCATGCGCATCTTGTCAAAGCTCGCATTCGATAGTCCTTGGCTCGGCAGTCTTTTATTTCGAATAACTTTTGATAGAAACAAGATACAGAGCTGCAACTTTCATCGTTCGAAGGCGGCTACATCACTGTGTAGTTTCATATATTATTCAACAATACCGATTGATGATCAAATGATTAGTCAATAATCTTCGGAAAAACACTGGTAGCTCTATGAAGATGATGTAGATATTGATTTCTACAAAGCGCGATGAATCCATGTATCCATAATTCCCCCACATGCACACCATAACCTAAACTTTCATCTTCTTTTACTCAAGACTTACAGGTGCAACGCTAAGCAATGAGAGTACATTTGAAGCATAAATACACGGATCTAGCCCATTTCGTAAAAACTATACATCTACATAATCTTTGCTGAGCTACCAGTATTTTTTCGAAAACTACTGACTAATCATTTGATCATCGATCAGTATTGTTGAATAGCATATGGAACTACGCAGTGATTTGACAGCTTTCGAACAGTAAAAGTCGCAGCTTTCTGTCTTATTTCTATCAAAAGTTATTCGAAATCAAAGAGTGCTCGGTGACTTTTGGCTCATCCTGTATTTAATTGAATATCTTTATCAAGATATAACTCAAGACAGAAATCAGTAAATACGTATTTTCTTTGCTTTGACATTATGGTTAATGTCGAAAATAAATTCTTTTAATAATTGTGAACAAATAAATGATTGATCAATTTCATTGAGTACAGCTGATGAATTTATTGATGCAATACTGATTGATGTTAAAATAGATTCGGATTGATGAATAACATATTTTCAAGGTTGAAAAAAAATGTGTTGTTACAGTCATTTGCAAGATGACAACGTCACTTGGATACTATACTATTTTTTCTCAATAATAATACGGTACTCACATCATCCTTTTGTTGATATCAGCCACTATTAATGAATAAATCTGATGGTTATGTCATTTATTTAAATAATCATTTAATGCATGGATTTACACCAGAAGTGGATTTTTTCATTATTTCTCGAAATGTTTTGTATTAAATCATTATCAAATTGCACTTTTTGTTTATTTGTCATGTTTAATGATGAGACGAACATAAGAAACATGGTAAAATCAAACATAGATTCATTTTTTCTGTCTGACAAATATTTATTTCATTTTAAAAGAGTATCTGGTCATAGTACAATTTACAAAATCTTATTGATACATATAGAACAATAAACAGAAAAGAAAACACTAAGAAAAATGAAGAAAAAAGACAAAGGTTCTTGTTGATTCTGTCTGAGTATTCATAAAAAAATTGCAGAAAAATCTTTTTCACATATTGCTGAAAGAGACAAACTTGAAGAAAATAGAACAAAACAGGTTTTGTTTTGAATATTTTAAATCTGATAATTCAAATTATATCTCTAATCGTTGTCTGAGTTTTATTGAAATCTTTTTTTACGCATTTCAGCATAAATAGAGTGAAACATAAAATATAAACATGAACAAAACACAGGACAAAAGGTATTCTATCATAGATCATATATAATAATGTTTGATCATTAAGGTTTTGTTATTCAAATTAATAAACCACATAATAGTTTTGATAGATCGGCTTGTTTCTCTTTTCATTTTGTTCAATATTGTGACAATGTCTATAGAAGTCTATCTAAAATATTTACTTTTATATAGCAATCATGAAAAAGACTTGAATAAGAAGGAATATATCTTCAAAAAATCTCTAGTAGTGTGAAGTATTCAACAATATGATTAAAGAAAGAAAAATTTTCTGAATAAGAAAATTGTGAAGAAAAACCTTGGCATATGTAATCAAGTGCCATATGTGCGCGTATAGACATGATTTTCTTTACGATATAATTTTTGTTATTTCACACATAACTTTTAGTATTAACCTTTCTTCTATTTAACTACTTGATTGCTGTAGAAAAAGATAAAAATGATATGAAAGTAATTCTTCTAATGATCATAACTAATCTAACCAATTTCGTTTTTATTTATTATTTAAAACCACACAATAAGTCCATAACCATCCTTCTCAACAACAATTCGCGGTTTCTTATTTAGCGGTAAAGCAAGAATGTTATTTCGTAGTTGTTTAATGAATAAATACTGTTTTGTATGTGCCAAGCCGAAGTTGTACGTGTTTTGATAATGTTTATGTCGAAAACAGAAGCAAAAATCAGAAACTATTGATACTGTCTCTGCAATGATTTGGCAACTTATATCATTTGGTGGAACATCCATACCATATAAAAGTATACGTAACGAGTTTAAAAACGAGAATGTTGAGAGAGTCCGCAAATCAGCCCAATCATTTCTTGCAAGATGAAGATGTTCATAATTAAGAGTAATTTGAATAGATCGAATATATCTTGAATAAGATCAATTATTCAATGAATCAAAACTGTTTGTAAGAATAAGATGATCAAAAATTGTTAAATTTGAAGATATCTGTTCATCACATTGTGATAAATGAAGTTCAACCACGTGGTTTGAAGACATTACGTGAGGCAATAAAGTAGTTAATGATGGAATATTATCTGCTATATTCATTTTAAGAAGATGTGAACGACCAACTTTATCAAATAGAGAAGCCGATGTAAAGACTTCTAATTCACTAATATATTTATCTGAAATACATAGTTGAAAAAATTCTTCAAAAATCCATGGTAAAGTATAGAATAAATGTAGTCGATATTTAAGTTTTTTGTTCTAAAAGAAAGATCAATGAGATGGATTCAAAGAATATTTTATTATCGATGTGACTTGCAATCTATCTAGATTGATAACTTACATAAATTTCTTTATGACTCATGAATGTTTTATCAACAGGCCAATATTCAGAAATAAATGTTGCACTTGCTATTTGACGACGATGAGATAAACTACCACGTGGTACATATTGATTTAGTTCGCAATGTTGTCAATTATCATGAATGACAAAAGCATAATGAACATCAATATGACGATCATCATTAAAGAGAGGTGATTGAGTCATTTGATCAAGATCATTAACATCAATAACGATAGAAAAATTCATTCGTCGTAAAACAGGCATTACATTAAAAGTTGTTAATACATCAACAAATGTCCATTCCTCACTTGAATGATTTAGCAAAGGTAAACGTATGTAAAGATTCCATTCGAGGTAAAGCATTTTTATCAAATAAACTAAGTCTTCTATAACCGCAAAAATCTAGCATTTTTATATGTAGTTGTTGTAATGTATGAGATAACGGTTCTGTTGAGAGTATATCAACCACATCAAGTATCCGAGTAATCGAAAGTTTTAGATAGATTAACGGTGTTTGTATTGTTTTGAAAGGCCACTTATGCAAGTAAAAAGATGTTTCCGTTCCTAAATCAAGTGATTGAAGAATCGGCAGACAACAAAGAATTTTTTCGAGAAATTCTTTCAAGTTCCATAATGGATAAGCCACTTTTTTTGTCATACCAACCTTTATAAAACAAAATATATTAGAAAAATATATATTATATTAATTGAGAATTGAAATTTTCTCCTTGTTTATCCAAACATCTTCATAAAAGAAATGTTTTATATGAGGAATACAATCCTATATGAGAACATTCAGCCTAGAAGTTTTATCCGTAGAAGGAGGAAAAAAGTTCTTATCAATATAGTCAAAGAACTAAGAATTAATTATTATGTCTAAAGTTATATATTTATTCATATTGCCGATAGTCATTTCTAGAGTTAAAATACTATACGATACTTGAATATAATTGATTGGTTTAATTGTAAGTCAAGTTTAATACAATTATTAGTCAAATCTTATTTTCTTAGATATCTTGGACTGCAAAACACGTTAATATAGTTTGTAGAATGGTAACTTAAGTAACTATTTGATAGCAAAATTTTATATGTCGCTATACAAAATACAACTGGTGAGCAACATTATTTATACTATTTAGAGTTTTGTTTATTTTCTTCATTATGACTGAAATGACTTCTAACAGTACTTACTGTACGAAAATATCCACTTGATTGAACTGTAAGATGAGACAATGTGTTTGCATGTTTTCTTGCAAATTTGAAAACATCCCTAAAGTTGCGTACACCTTGTAATCGTAATGTTGTTAAATTTGGTAAATAAGGCCATCTTCGCAGTTGAAGAGGTGATGCATAACGATCAATAACGAGTGATTCTATTTGATTTAATTGAAGTATAGATAGAATCGTTTCGAACTGTTTTCTTCGAGTGGATGATAAATTAAGATGATGATAAAAGCCTCGTTCTTTTAATAATGTTATCAAACGAGAGTTGAGATTAGAGAATGACCAGAGAGCATCAGCACAAGATAAGTAAGAAAATATTTCGAGTAATGTTAAATCAGGTAAATCATCGAACGAGCTCATCATTGTTATCATGTCAATGATGACGATCAGTTTTGCGTCTCTTTTAGAACTACTCATCTAATGGTATAATGTGGACGGTCATTTTTTTTTCTCTTCGTTGTCTTTCATGGCCGACGGCAACAATTGTTGAACGTATTGACTAGTGGCGTAACCAGGAAATGACCGGTACCCGGGCGGTGCCCCACAGTGTTTCAAAAATTTAATTAACAGTAGTCAAAATTTCCATCGAAGAGTGATTAATGCTCACAATTTTTGTTCTCTTAAAAAGAGAGCAGAATATGTCCAAGGCTGCGCAAATTAGAAGAAGTAAGAGTGATGGCACAACCCAATTTGAACAAATTTTACTGAATGAGCTTCAGAATCTTTCCTTTTTCTCGCTCAAGAACAGGGTGGCCTATAAGCCTTAAAGTTGAGGGAGGACCGACGATCTGTATGATCAATTGCGGAATTTTTTGAAAAATGTTCACAAATTTTCACAGAAACTACAGCGTTTTTTGTCAACTTTGCGAAGGAAAAAAGGAGAAAGTCGAAGTAAATTTTCAAAAAAAATTGAAATTCTTTTTATTGGGAGGAAACCGATCTAATTTCGAGAACTGACGAGGAGAAGACGTAAAATTCTTCAAAACAACAGTAACGTTCTAGAATTTTGCCTTGAAAAATCGAAAAATTTCCATCAACGGAAGAGGAAGACTGCCATTCCTACACTTCTTTCAGTTTGGGCGGCCCTGGACTCACCAATTTTACAAATCGAATCCACTTTCTTCTCCAGGAAACTTAGCTTTGTCACCAAGAAATTCTCAATTTTTCCGTTTTCGGTTCTCAAATTTAGCTGGAAAGTGACCCATTCTCTCGAAAACATGCCCAAAAAAAATAGAAAATTGTCTGCCCTAAACTTCAAGACATATTCGAAGTCCTAAATGTATTTTCTTTTTGTGGAGTAAAATCAAGCAGAAAAAAGAAAAATGAACCATGTAAACAGAGAACAAATACTGCCTACTCATCCACGCGTGTAGTTTTTGTCGTATTTGTAAGACTTACGAATGGTTCTCAGTGCTTTTGATTATGCAACAAAAGATGCTCCGATGATAGGTGTAATTTTTCTTTTGACCGGTGCCCGGGCAAAAACTATTGGTGACCGGGCGGCGCCCGGGCATGCCCACCCCTAGTTACGCCACTAGTATTGACTATTCTTTGTATGAAGAAAATACGATGAATTATAGGAAAACTGAAAAAATATAATGCTCACATATATTTTCTTATTAATTGACACTAATCTGACATGAAATATTCTGTCCAAAATTTCTATCAGATACATGGAATATATATATCTAACAAAAATGTTTTATTTTTCAAAATTTCAACTTTCTATCGAAAACTAGTACTGAAAAGTTTTGACAAGGTTAACATAGAGCAACAAACGATTTACTAAACTATATAGGAATATGGTGTTTATATCTAAAATCTTTTAGATTTAAATTATATGTTAAATATGCAACAAGTTACGAGAATAGAAACGATGGTAAATAGCTTCTATTGAATTTAAATCATTTGAAAATAACGTTGAGCATGGTTTGCATGATTCATAGCACAATTATTTTAGATATCAATGCTGAATTTTCTGATATATGAATAATGGAAAATATATAGGATATATTGAACGAAAAATTTCGCTATTAAAAAAATAAAATGTACAAGAATCGAGTTTATTTTCGAAAGAAAAATGATAGACTAAATACTTCAATCAATTACAATTGATCATAAAAAAACAATGAAGGAGATCATCTTCATACACATTGAATTTTATTATAATTAACATTTTTAAAAAATTTCTCTCAAGTTTTTTTTTTTCATCAAATGTTTCGAAATACAATTGCTCAACAAATAAACGTCCTACAGTTATTCATATATATAAATCTTATTCATGTATTGCACCACTAATTTTAGCTAGAGAATTCAAACTTTTGAAAATTGAACTTCTTGATTATATGATAAAAATGTTAGCCTTTACATCTAAGAAAAAAAAAACTTCCTATAATTCTAAATCTATGAATAATTGAATATTAATTAACAAGAAATAATAATCATAAGAAGAAAAATGTGTCTTCTAAAATCAATGTTAGAATGGATTATCATACATATCTAATGGCTTCTTAAAAATCATTCACTAATGTAATTATAATCATTGACTAATAGAGAAAAATAAAACCGGAATAAGAAGTTCATTTTTACATTTGCATACAAATATTTCTTCTATACAGAAGATTAATTCCGGCATTTTTCATGTTCATATAAAAAGAAAAAAGTATCTGTGACTCTTTTTTTCAAAAGATCTCTATGTCATTGAAGATATATTATTAAGCAAATTTCCTTGAACATATTAGAGAATTTTATCTTCTGGAATAATATAAAACATATGCATATTGACCATAAAGGGTGTGTCCTAAGTTTTGATCCCTTCAAGTAATACTCATTTGTTATATGTTTTTTCGTCAGAATAGACTAATATTCACAACATAGGTAGTAGACATCTAAATCTACTCTACGCTAGAATTTCAGCTTTCTACCTCTTTTGGTCGCAGATATAAAAGTAACTTAAAATTCATAGGAAAATTTTGAAATAATTAACGTGTAGACCAGTATAATTGGCTACATTTTATATTTTATTTTTTCATCATCTAATACGTTATATTAAACAACAAAAATATACCACAGGATGCGACGTGAAAAGCTCTACAACCTACATAGTGAAGCTTATTTGATTTGTGTACTTTTTGTTTTCAAAACAAGTCAAATTCGGTGAGGCCAATTTTCGACGCTGTGAAAAGTGCTCGCACAAATTTTTTAGAAAAAAAGTACATAATTAAAATAAGATTCATCATGTAGATTGTAGAGCTTTTCACGCTGCATCTCGAGATATATTCCGTTTCTTTTTTAAGGTGACGTATTAGGTGATAAAAGGATGAATAAGCAAAAATGAATTTTTTCATTCGTATAGAAAAAAGTGATCTTTTCGCGATTTTTCTTTTTTCAGAACAAAATGTACACAATTAAAATAAGCTTCACTATAAAGGTTATAGAGATTTTCAGGCTGCATCTTGTGGTATATTTTTGTCTTTAATATGACATATTAGATGATGAGAAAATAAAATGCAAAATGTGGCCATTTATTCTGACTCACTCGTTATTTCAAGAAATTCCTATGAATTTTAAATTACTTGTATATCTGTGACCACAAGAGGTAGAAAGCTGAAATTCTAGCGTAGCATAGATTTAGATATCTAGTACCTATGCTGTGAATATTAGTCTAATCTGCCGAAAAATCATATAAAAAATAAGTATTACTTGAAAGGATCAAAACTTAAGTCACACCCTTTATATTTAGAAGAATTTTTTATTTTTAATTAAATAAACAATACACATACATATTTATCATTGCTTTTTTTAAATACAATTTCAATAATGTCAAAAGAGAAAAAAAAATAGTTAGCAGTTTTTTTTTACAAAATAAAATATAGGCGAAAAAAAGCAATGAATTGTCGTTATTTATTAATAATTATTGAATGAATAAGAATAGTTATCTTAATATGATGTTTAATTGGCAAATGATAGTTAGTGATGTAATATGTCATATATTCTTTTTCACAATTTGTTTTGTTTCATTCAAGGTTTAATTTTCAAGTAGAATACAATTATATTTCATGTGATAATGATGCATACTTGAGTTGATTTAATATCGTTCAATCATCATTCTTACGATGAGGAAATAAGAAAAAGATAAGGAAACATCACAAACAAAAAGAAACATTTGTTCAGTAATCGATTATCAGTGTAAGTTTCATCATAAAACAAATCATTCTTCTTTTTTTTTTTTATTTAATTCGTTTATCTTGGATATTATTATTAGAGGAAAAATAACGAAACAAACCGAGCTCACTATAATTAATTATCTTTATTTGTCTTTTATTTCACGCTTATAATTTTTCTTAACTAATGATTCATCCATTAACGATGTACAAGGAAAAAATACGATCTTTTTTCACCACACATCTCTCAGAACAATACACTTTCGAAAATTCATTTACGAAAGCACCTATTTATTCTAATATATTATTTTTCTTGTGAATGATTGATATAGATAATGCTGAGAATAATATGATTGTGGCTGTTATCGAACAGAAGATTAAAAGGCATGTCCTCAAAATGGATTCTGTTCGTTACTCATGGAAAACAACTGTCTAGTGTAGAACAATTGTGTAACTCTCTCCTCTGTAATGTATTCACGGAGATATGAGATGAAAAAACGAAATTAATCCTTTGATCGGTTAATATAATGATAAATATACATTGAGATCTGATCTATCTAATGGCATCAAAATGTTTCTTACAGATTTTACGTAGAGAAAAACAATTGGAACTAAAAGATTAGCTTGAAAATAGTCATATAGATGAGAAAATGAAATCAACTGATAGACATGCTCAGAGATGACCTGACCAGAATTGCTTGACGAGGATATAACATCTCTCAATCAAGCAAGTTTTTTGCTTTGTTCCAACGGAACCAAATATTTTTTTTATGCATTCTCATTGGAAAACTTTGTATCCCTCGGACATAAATGTTGGTTTTGTTCAACAATCATGAACACGTTCAGAATATTAGTGATCAAGAATTGGCCAGAAACTAACAAGAATGAATACTCATTCCTGGATTTCTCGCAGCTAGATAGGCACCAGTTCCAGTTCCGACTGGGAGACTGGGTATCCAGCTCTACTGGATATTCAGTAAAGTGATCTAGAATTGATCTGATTATCAATATTTCTGTTTTTGACCAAAGGTTTTCGGAGTCGAGGAATCAGAATCTGAAATCAGAATTCAAAATTTTGAGTTTGACTGTTTTGCAAAACGTCTAACTTTTTACAAAAAAAAATATCCTTGATAAAAAAAAAGTTGAATTCAAAATTTTGAAATTCTGATTTCAGATTCGAATTCCTTGACTCCGATTACCTTTGATTAA